TAAAGTATGTTATTTTTAACCAAACCAATTAAAATTAAACTTAATAAAATAAATAATAATGATAATAAATAAATAAATAAATTTAACAAAAGAGAGCCGGACCAAATACGGTGTCTACATTACYGATATCACTGATAAATGACTATTAGTGATATAATCTATCACCGACAGACTAAAAAACRTTAATGGGTAATATACAAGAGTAAAAAGAAAATTAGGTAACATGTTTAAATGATGTGCGAAAAACTTAAAAATTGTCATATTTGTAAAATCATAATTTTGTTGCTATACTTGCGAATATAACGATGTGAATTGCAATMTTTTGAACTTTTCGTTTGAAAAAAGCTTTATTTTCATAGATTTATAGTTAGAAAGTATACTCAACTATAAATGAGAGCAACTCAATGACGAAATGTTTAGGATGGTAGTACTGTCTTAAATAAAATGACAAAAATTTAACTAACTAAGATATATATGTTTAACTAAAAGGTCAAAAATCTGAATCCTACCTCTATATGTGGTTGAACCATAAAAGAGAAGAAAAAAGAGCTTGGAAAAGAGCTAATGACATGGATAAAAAACAACCTCTATATTGGTTGAACCATAAAGGGAAGAAAAAAGAGCTTGGAAAAGAGCTAATGACATGGATAAAAAACAACCTCTATATTGGTTGAAACATAAAGGGAAGAAAAAAGAGCTTGGAAAAGAGCTAATGACATGGATAAAAAACAAATCAAGAAAACCAAAAGTTTAGGGGGAAAAAAAACAAATCAAACCCAACATTTTGAATCGTTTTCTTAATTTCATTGATTTTCTACACACCTATGAACTAGGGACGCTTGCAAATATAACAAAAAAATTAAAATTGCAGATATAGCAACCACATTTGTAATTTGCAAATATAGCAAAAAGGGAGGCTAAATCCAAAACATAAAAAAAAAAGGAAAAAAACTAAAGGAAAAAGCGATTATAGCCTTAAAATGGGCAAAAAAATTTTAATGTTGATATATATAATAACAAGTAAATGAAGTATATTAGTGATATATTTCACATCAAGTATATAAGTTATTATTTCATATTAGAGGCAAGTTATTATTTCATATTAGATGTATCAGTTATATCATTAACATACCTTAAATAAAGTATACTATTAATATACTTGATATCAATTAAAAAAAACCTAAAATTGAATGTGACTAACATATCAAGTATATCATTTATTTATTTGGTATGATTAATATACTCCATATTATATATAATTATATCAATGATATACTTTAGATTCGGTATATCAATGACATAATTGTTATGCCTAATATATAAGTATATCAGTTGATATACATGTTAGTAACATACGTATTGCTATACCTAAAACTAAGTATATCACTTATATATTTGGTATATCAATAAGAAATCTGACAATGTTATTTAAATCAAAATCTTCAACTCATACAAGATTTATCAATGATTTATCTAATAAAAATATATCATTCATATATTTAGTATGATTGATATATTTCATATTAAATATATAGGTTATATTAGTGACATTTAAAATTCGATATCAATTATACAACTGATCTACTAATATGAAGTCTATCCCTAATCTACTTAATATTACATATATCAATTTTTACAAAAGACTAAAGTGAAATTAGAATAAYACCAAAATGAAAAATATGGTTAATTTTTTTTTTTTGTTATATTTACAAAATCAAAAAGTTGCTACTATATTTGAAAATATAACAAATATTTTTGCTATCCACTAAAAATACCCTAAAATCTATTAGGAGTGAGCAAACGTACCTGAAAAACCGAACCGACCAATCAAAACCGACCAAATCGGGGACGACCAGTCGGTTTCAAGCATCTTACGACCGGTGGTTGGTTTTGAATTTTCAGAACCGATGAGTCGATTAGTCGAAGCATATTGAATCGGTTTTTAAGGCCGACAGACCGACRATAATATACTATTAAAAAAACATAATTTTTATTATCATGTTATTTTTATTTTTATTGTAGAATGTAGCCCTAGGATWCTATTCTTTCGTGCACCGCCCACCTACATCTTCAATTCTTTATCTTGTTCAAAACTTCCTTCTCTATTTTCTTCTTCCCATTTTGCACTAGCGCGCTGCTCCCCACTTTTCCATTTTTCAGTTTCTCCATTCTTATCTATTGTTCAGTTTATGTTCTTTCATGCGCCACCCACTACAACCCCCTCTTTCCTCTTCTTTCGCGTTCTTTCCTCGTGCAGTATCAGACAGACATTGTTGTGGAACTCTCCCCCTTCCCCCTCACTTCTCATCCTTCTGTGCTGTGTGCAGTGGAACCCCCATCCCCCTTTCCTTTGTCATTCCATCCCTCAGCTCATTGCTCGGGCTTCTCCTCTACCCCCTTTCCTAATCCATTTCCATTATCGTCCGAGCGCATCAAAACCGGCTTGAGGCGTCCAACTTTCAAATCTAGATTCAGAATTGGGAGAGTAAGTATACTATATATTTTAATTTCGATTTCTAAAATTTTAGATTTAAATTAATGTTATTTGTTGTTTATTTTAATAATAGTTGTATATATTTTTCAGAGTTAATATGAAGACGTCAGAGTCATCGTCAAATGCTACAATTATGTCGGCGGCCACTACCACCAGAAAGGATAAAGTCGTCGTCAATATTGATCAGGTTGAAGCGATTTCTTCAAGTCCACCGAGAAAGTGTAAGAATCTTAAGACTCCTATAGTTTGAGATCATTTTGAAAAATTGAAAGGTGATCCCAAAGATTTCTATGCTAAACGTAMATATTGTGGGGATGTGGATGCATGTCATTCTAAGTGTAATGGTATTGGAACTATGAAAAATCATTTGGACAGTGTAAGAAATATTCGTACCAAAAGAAGATAGACCCAACCCAAACAAAATTGGTTTTCAAACCTCAAGAAGGTGGTGTTGAGGATTTTAGTTCAAAACTTGTGTACGAGTCATTTGATTTGGATAATTGTCGAACAGCTTTAGCTGAAATTATTATCCTAGATGAATTGCCTTTAAGTTTGTGGAGGGTCAGGATTTTCGGAGATTTATCAACCAATCAATAGGTTTGCTTGAGCTAGGTTTGTTGTTTCATCTCAATTTACTATAGCTAGGGACATCATTAAAATATATGTTAGTGAGAAAAAAAWTKRAAAACACCTATATGAAAAAGAAATATAAAGTTTCTCTCACTACCGATTGTTGGACTTCTAGATAGAACATAAATTACATGGTATTGACAACACATTTTATTGATTCTAATTTGAAATTGCATAAGAGGATCCTTACTTTTTGTCAAATTGAGAATCATAGAGGGGATGCTATTGGTAAGACTGTTGAAAAAAGTTTGAAGGATTGAGGTATTGAAAAAATTATGACTTTAACTATTGACAATGCTAGTTCGAATGATACGACTGTCGCTTACCTAATCAAAAGATTTAGTCATGGATTGTTGTTGGAATGATCATTTTTTGCATGTTAGATGTTGTGCACACATATTGAATCTGATATGTGATGCTTTGAAAGATCATTATAATTGYATTGATCATATTCGTAATGCTGTAAGATTTGTGAGGTCTTCTCTTGGACGTTCTATGACATTTAGGAAATGTGTTGAAATTGAAAAAATTTCTTGTAAAAGTTTTGCATATCTTGATGTTGTAATTAGATAGAACTCTACATGTATGTTGTTTGATGTGACTACAAAACTTCAAAAAGGCTTTTGAGAGATTATAGGATGAAGAACCTGCTTACACGACTAATTTGTGGCCTAGTAAAGAAGATTGAGGTGAATGTTAAGAATGTTGGTTCAGTTCTTGAAAGTTTTTTTTTCCCTTATGATATCACTTTGGAAATTTCAGGATCTTTGTATACTACGCCTCTAACTTGATGTATCATCATATTAACACAGTTCAAAATTGCGTACAAAAGAATTATATGAAGATTTGGAATCCAATTATTTGTACTATGACTAAGAGCRTAGAAGCTAAACTCTAATAAGTATCAGGGAGATAGTGAGAAGATCAATATATTATTTTATGTTGCTATTGTGTTGGATCCACGATGTGTAAGTTGGGAAAATTAACAAAATAAGCATTCTATAGGGTCCTTTTAAGTTTTTTAATCATCTTTTTCAAAACACAAGTTTTATAGGCATTTGCTGACATCACCTCCACACCAAATGCGCTACCCCTCCACTAATATTTTAGACTTCCCTCCTTATTTCCTCTCTCTACTTCCATCTCCCTCTTTTTACAGATTTTTTTTTCTTTATCGTTTTTCATTATTCTCTTTTCCTCTTTCAACAAAGTTTTTTTTTTCTCATCCTCTCTAAAATTTTCTTGGAGTTTCTTTTTTCCTTCTTTCATCTTTCTGTATTTTTTCTAATTACTATTATTCTCTTTATTCTTTACTGGCCATAAAAAACAATTTACTTTAAAAAAAACCCTAAATCTCTCGGCTTTTTTTTTATTTTTAAAACCAGCAGCCTCCATGGTTTCCGTGACTTCGCTGACGACTGCTGCATCAAAGCCGACGAAGGAGGTCATTCGTCGAAGAAAGAAGCTCAGTGGAAGAGGAATGTGGGAGGTGAGCGAGAGAGAGAGCGAGGGTGAGCGAGAGAGAGAGCGAGGGTGAGCGAGAGAAGATTGTTTTTTTGATAGTATCTAAAAATTAATTTTGAATTAATGTTTATCAAATCAAATTAATTTTGAAAAAAACGGAATCTCAATATTAATTCAAATTGTTTCCCAAATCTCTCATCAATCTCCTTAAATCTCTCAATGTAGTTTTAATTATAATTGAATTTCAAATCCCCCAATTTTGCTTTTCAAATCCCCCAATTTTGCTTTCCCATCTTTCATTCCTAATTTAAATTTTAATCRAATGTATCTTTTTTAATTAGATTTTAAATTGATATTTTCATTTGGTTAAAATTTAAATTAGGAATGAAAGAGATGAAAGCAAAATGAGGGGTTTTTAATTCAATCCTAATTAAAACTACGTTGAGAGATTTATGAGATTGAGAATAGATTTCGGAARACAAATTTGAATTAATATTGAGATARTATTTTTAGATTCYCTCAATTCTCGTTCACCCTCGCTCCCTCTTGCTCAACCTCTCTCTCTCTAACTCACCCTCGCTCMCTCTCGCTCAACCTCTCTCTCTCGCTCACCCTCGCTCTCTCTCTCTTTATCTCCTCCCCCATTCCTCTTCCACTGATCTTCTTTCTTCGGCGAACGACCTCCTTTGTTGGCTTTGATGCATCCATCGTCAGTGATTGCTAAAAGTCACGGGAATCATGGAGGAAAAAAAATTGCTTTTTGTAGTGAGTAAAGAAGAAAGAGAATAATAGTAATAGAAAAAATAGAGAAAGAGGGAAGATGGAAAAGAGAAACTCCAAGAAAATTCTAGGGAGAATGAGAAATTTTTTTTTTGCTGAAAATAGGAAAAGAGAATAATGAAAAACGATAAGAAAACAGAGAGGAGGAAAAAAAATCTGGAAAAAGAGGGAGATGGAGGTAGAGAGAGGAAATAAGGAGGGAAGTCTAAAATATTAGTGGAGGTCATTTGACAAAGTTGGTGATGTCAGCAGTGACTAGAAAACTTGTGTTTTGGGAAGGACGATTAAAAAACGTAAAAGACCTTACAGAAGGCTTATTTTGTCAATTTTCCMATGTAAGTTGAGGTATTTGTCATATTATTTAAGAAAGTTAGRGCTAGACGTATCTAAAACTATGAAAGATAAAGTGGAGCTTGTTTTAAGAAGTCTATTTAATCACTATAGTAGTTTCAGTTTGGCTTCTTCTAGTGGTACTAGTCATAGTAGACCACCAACCCAAGTACCATTACTACTGTTGCTGCCATGGATATGGATGAAGATATGAATTTTGATGAAGGTAAGAATTTAATACCAGAGTTCTCAAATGAAGAGACTACAACTTTTAATAGTGAGTCAAATATTGATGTGTATTTATTAGAAGCTCTTGTTAAGTTAAAGGAAGCTAATTTCAATATACGTCACTAGTGGAATGAGAATGSTTATTGATTTCTGATTCTTAGCCAAATGAGTAGAGATATTTTGGCAATTTCGATATCGAATGTAGCATCTAAGTCAGCTTTCAGTACTGGAGGACGTGTAATTTAACTGCTATCGYTCTTCATTGGTTCCAAACTATGGATGCTCTAATTATATSCACTCAAAATTAACTAAATTCTGATCGATAGATCTTGAATTTCATGTACACTAGGAGGAAGCTATAGTTTTGGAAGAAGGTATTGGTTCTATTTTTAATTTTTATTTTTTTTGAACATTTTTTCTTTTCAATCCTAACCATGTTGTCTTTCTTTTTTCACTCCAATTTTGTAGGATTCATTCTTTTTTCACTCCAATTTTGTAGGATTCATTCTTTTTTCACTCCAATTTTGTAGGATTCGAGTGACTATGGAGGAGGAAAAGAACATTAAAGACCTTGGAGATTTTGCAAAAGTTGTGGATTTAATATTTGTGTAGAAGTTGTTGATTTATTTTCTATATTTAGACTTATGTATTAACTATGATTTTTTTTTTCTATGTTTGGACTTATGTACTTTGAATTTGGGTTAGAACTTAGAAATACTATGTATTTTCAATTTGGATCTAATATGTCTTTTGAATTTCTAATAAAACTGCTATTTGTTTGTGATGATTATCTTAATTGATTTGTCATAATATTGACTACTAGTATAATTAATTGTTTAATTGGTATCAAAATGATATCATAACTTTAGGTCTAAATTTAATTATTAAAACGAACACTCAAAGTCAAAACGAGCATATTGATATATATTTTCAACCAAGGGGTTGTAAATTCAATCTCCCATCTCCACATGCTGTATTAAAAAAAGCACCCAAAAACAAAAAAACACCGGAATCACAAAAGAAAAAAAAAACTTACTCTGCCTACCATGCTCACCCCTACAATCTATGACTTTTAATAGTTTTTTTTTTAATTTTTAATTTTTTTGGTATGAATGACATGTTACATTACCTAACAAGAAGTTGTCGATTTCTTGATCTAGAAATCGATCAATTTTGTAAATTTTGACTATATAAAATAGAAAAATTCCATTTCGGTGTTTATTCATTCCCTCACGAGTTTATTGTCATATATATATATATATTTTTTTCAATTTTCAATTGAAGAGAGAAATAAGAAACGTTTTTTTCTGGCGTCAACTGTGAGAGCTCTGGAGAGTAATTTCAGTTGAACAAATCGAATCTATACGAATCCCGCAGTACTACGTTGTTGTTGCAGTTCACACGCTAGCTTCTCCATTCTTCTGATGATTTTCTTCTCTCCATCTGGGGCGGAGGAATTTGCAAGAAGAATGGTTGCTGCGGCGGGGATAGCTTAGTCGGCAGCCATGGGAGACGGCAACAACACCAACAGAGGCCTCATCTCGGCCAACGCTGCCAACCGGAACACCAACAACGGCGGCAGCCACCACAAGAAGCCGGAGTGGCTGCAGCAGTACGATCTGATTGGGAAGATCGGAGAGGGAACCTATGGCCTTGTATTTCTCGCTAAAATCAAACCCCCTTCCCCCAGCCGCGGGAAGTCCATTGCCATCAAGAAGTTCAAGCAATCCAAGGACGGTGATGGMGTCTCCCCTACTGCCATCCGCGAAATTATGGTTTCTTCCAATTTCTGTCACTTTCTTGTTCTTTCGTTTCTCTTTGATTCGATTATATTTGGTTTTAGGCGGAGGAAGGACGAGGGGAACAGTTCAGAACATATAGATCTTGATATTATTACATTACACATTGTCAGCTGCGCTAGAAACAGGAAATATATTGGGTTTCATTTTCTATTAATTCATGACAAAGCAATTAGGGTTTCTTTTTTTTTTTTTGAATTTTTAATTTTGATAACCAACTGGAGTTTGGAAAACTTGATTCTACTTTTCTGCTGGAGCTGTTGATCTTGCATTAGCCATTTCTGATAAATTAATCTTCTATATCTTTTATGGTTCAGTTACTGCGGGAAATTTCACACGAGAATGTCGTCAAGCTTGTAAATGTTCATATTAATCATGCAGATATGTCGCTGTATCTAGCTTTTGACTACGCTGAACATGACCTCTACGTAAGTTGATCTTGCTTCAATTCAGTATGTTAACGGATTGATTTCATTTGATATTTGTTGGTTAAGACTGAAAGATTCAGTGGTTCACTGCCATTTTCGACTTGGATGGAACTGTATCCTTTTGCGTAGAGAACCAATAGCACTCGGATCATCGAGGAAAAGCATATATCGTTTAATTTGCTAATGAACTCTTCTTGTCGTCTCTATTTAATATAATAAATTTTGTATTTTTGTACAGGAAATCATCAGGCATCATAGGGACAAGGCTAACCATCCCATTAATCAGTACACCGTTAAATCCTTGCTCTGGCAACTGTTCAATGGATTGAATTATCTCCACAGGTAAAGTTGTAGTATGTTTTCTTTTTTAAATTTAATTTCTTATCTTAAGAAGACTTCTAACGGTTTCAAATTCTACTGCAGTAATTGGATTATTCATCGTGATTTGAAGCCATCAAATATTTTGGTATGATATATATGATACCCACCTGTCTGCATAAGCGTGTGTCCTCAATGTGTAGATGCAGGTTTTGCTTATGTGTCTATTTTGTAACTAGGTTATGGGCGATGGAGAAGAACAGGGAGTGGTTAAGATAGCTGATTTTGGACTTGCAAGAATATACCAAGCTCCCTTGAAGCCATTATTTGAAAATGGAGTATGGATCTCTTGGTTCCTTTTCACTTGAATTGGCTTTTTCTTTTTCATTTTTTGGTTTTGGCTGAACTAATATTCTTTGGATGACGTAATATAAATGGAAACGGGCAAGTTAAATCTAATTTTTAAGAGTTCTAATGCTAAAATAACGTAAAAAAATATTTTGACAAGACAACAAAGAGTCTTCATGCTTAACTATTAGAACTTTTGGTAAAAGAGAGGAAGCAATGACCTCTGTTGAAACAAGAAAAAAATCTACCACTTAAAGATGCAAAGTGGGATTAAGTGGTCGATGAGGACCAACCATCATGGGATGACTCAAGTGGAATGTAAATAGTAAAGGACTTAGAGGGAATGAGTTYAAACCATGGTGGCCACCTACCTAGGATATAATATCCTATGAGTTTTCTTGTCAACCAAATGTAGTAGGGYTAGGCGGTTGGCCCGTGAATAGTCGAGGTGCGTGCAAGCTGGCCCGGACACACATATATCAAAAAAAAAAATAAACGATGGGAAGTGGGATCTTGTAGAAAGTCTATAAGTTAACTAATTAAGTTTTGGGGCTGGAGTTGCAAGATATGCAGTAGAAAATAAATGTAATGCTAAATAGGGGACCAATCCTTAACCCAGTTCCAATATATATATATATATATATAGAAAGATAAACACAAGGAAAAATGGAAGAAGCTACCGTCACCAACATTCTCATTGCCTGATAAATCTGCCTCATTACAAGATTAAATAAAACTATGGAAGACCATTGCATGTGAAAATGAACATGTTTATTGTTAAGTTTTTTATGTGTCCATTTGCAATTTGTTTGTAGGTTGTTGTGACCATTTGGTATCGTGCACCTGAGCTTCTCCTTGGAGCAAAGCACTATACTAGTGCTGTTGGTATCCATGATAAAATCATTTAGTTTCTATTAAGTGGAGCCTCTTCTGGCTGTTATATGATTGATGCATTTTACTTGGGAACCTAACATGAGAAATTGATACCTGCATGCCCTTGCTGCTTGATTTGTGCGTCAGGATGAATTCACTGACTTGACTTCAACTTCATAACATGTTTTTTCCGGAGTTTTATATACAATCTATCATCTTTTGTACGTAAGTAAATTATAGCTATGAGAATGACTGAAGAAACATGAAAATGGGGGTCATTATAGAAGCTACCATTACTAGAAAATATATACATGCACTGTCTGGATGATGCTTTGCATGTGTGTTGTTTACAAAGGGAAATTTTTATTGCGTATCTATTTCAAATGTATATTACCTTTAGGTAGTAGACTGGGATATATTTTTATCCTCAGTAAAGAAGACGATACTTCCTTTATAAAGAAAATTAGATATGTGGGCTGTTGGATGCATTTTTGCTGAGCTTTTGACATTGAAGCCATTATTTCAAGGGCAAGAAGTCAAAGGGACTCCAAATCCTTTCCAGGTATATATGTTATCTTGCATGCTATTTGCCCTGTTGGTTTTGTGTTTCTCCCCTCACTAAACTCTTACTAATATTGTTTCTATCATTGTAATGCATATGCAATGAAACCTATGACTTGAGCAGCTTGATCAACTTGACAAGATTTTTAAGGTTTTAGGTATTTTTCAATTGCTTCTTTTGTCCCYATTTCTCCTGCATATGCAACAAAATGTTGTTTCTTAAGTCATTAATTTACTAGGCCATCCCACACTAGAGAAGTGGCCAACACTTGCGAATCTTCCACATTGGCAACAAGATCTACAGCACATACAGGGACATAAATAGTAAGCTTTTTTTCTTTCTTTTCCATATGAAACCAAAAGTAGGCTTTGCTGTGAAACTTTTACTTAAGATCCTCTTTAGAACATACTAGGTTCATGTTATGATCAGGTTTTGCCTTGGCTATTGTTTCTGACAGTGACAATGCTGGATTGTATAACGTTGTCCACCTTTCTCCAAAAAGTCCTGCATATGATCTTCTATCCAAAATGCTCGAGTATGTCTTCCATTTTCAGACCTTAATTTTCTACCATAGAGTTCTTACCAATATGTCTGTATAATTGCAGAATAGACTTTTATTTTATGGTCTGAAGATTAGTATCTTTTATTTCTATTAAAGATAAAGACTGACGTGTCATTGTTAATGTTGTTGACATAATTGTATTCATATGTGGTGCTGGTTTAAAAGATTAATGAGTTCATCATCAATGAAAACTTTTGTTTCTTTTTCAAATTAAAGAKAAAATAAAAAGGTAAATGAGTTCTGGCAATGAAAAAACTAACAAGGCTATAGGAGAGCATGGTTATAACTTATAGGAGCGTTGTGAACTAACATTCCTTCTTCTAACTTGTGGAGAGTATGGTGATAGGAGGGTTTAGAAGGATATAACTTATTTTGACTTGCCGTGAGTGTACGGTAATTTTTTATAATATTTCTTCTTTTGGCTTATAAAGAGTATTGTTATGGGAGGGTTTAGAAGTAATATTCCTTATTTAGACTTGTGGGGAGTATGGTGATCGGAGGGTTGGAAGGATATTCCTTCTTTTGACTTGTGGAGAGTGGTGATTATTTATAGTATTCCTTCTCTTGACTTGGAAAGAGTATGGTGATTCTTTATAGTATTCCTTCTTTAACGTGTGGAGAGCATGGTGATACTTGATAGGAGAGTTTATAAGGATGTTCCTTCTTTTTAGTCCTTGAGGCCACGTTGACACCTTAAAATTTCCTTCTCTTGGGTCGTGGAGGGTATGCTGATTCTTTATAATATTCATTCTTTTTAAATTCTGGATTGTATTGTGATAGAAGGATTTAGTACTAATATTCCTTTTGACATGTGGAGTATGGGTGATTGGGGGGGGGGGGGGGTTTAGAGAAGTGTGAGAATGGAGCAGGGAACTATAGATTGAAAATAAGTTGATCAACATCATCTTGATTTAAAATCCAGATATAGAGTTATTAGTAACATCACTTTGATTGGAAATCCAGGTATGGAGTCTTAGTATTMTCTGATAGAATTAGATATTAGATTAAAAATAAGTTGTTCTTGAAAAAGATAATAATAAAAATAAGTTGTTTTTTTGGTATCATATCAACTTGATTGGAAATTTAGAATGGCAGGGAGCTACGGATTGAAAAGTGGTTTAACATCATATTAATTGGAAATCCAGATGTGGATTATTAATATTCTCTGATGGACCTAAATAATGGAGGCTTTCTTTTTCCTTTTTCAAAATGATTATGTAACTGGGAGCAGCCTTCAATGTGGACCATGGAAGAGATGGGTCCTAGCTAGTAAAGGAAAGTACCTGTTTTCCGTAGAATTCACTGTGATTATTTTTCTCCCCTTGTTGCTGGGAATTTCACCAATAATCCAGGCAGCATTTTGGTTATCATTAATTTATGGATTAATATCATAACTCCTACTGAGTCTTCATAAAATTACAACTAAACCCTTTGAGAATTACCAGTTTTATCTTTTAATTTAGTAACTTGGAAATGTCTACTATTTGAGATTCTGTTACCTGTAAATTGTTAATTATTTTATCTTTTTTAGCCTTTTTATGCATGATGATAAATTATTGCCTCATATAAATCTTTTACTTCATTGGGATTTCAATTTGCTAACTTCCTTGATCTCCCATCATGGGTAATTTTTTGGTCAGGTATGATCCTCGAAAACGTATAACAGCAGCCCAAGCTCTTGAGCACGAGTATGACTTATCTTCACAACCATTTTCTGATCCTTCTAGTTGTGTGCTTTTTTGGGACTATTATAATGTTGGAATTTCTGACGTGATATACTTTTCTTCCTCTGTTCAGCTATCATCTGAAAGTCTGCAAGTAGTATGGAACGTTGTTATTTAGATTTTTATTATATTGCCTTAAATATAATTGTTCGTTGTTATGTCATAATCCATTAACACACACATACAGTGCATGTGAAATTTTTAGTTTTGTTTTGACTCTACAGAGAAATGAAGTTTAATTAAATGCCAATACTCAAATGTTTAAAAAAGGAGAATATGATTAATTTCCTAATATATTAATGCTTTTTGGTTTTTTGAAATCGAAACAAATATGCATGAAATATTAAAAAGAAAGAGTAGAGCCAAGCCCAAGTCAGAGAAGGTTACAATAAAGTTTCCAAATTGGCCAAAAGAACATTGAGACTGTAATCTATAAAGGTGGTAGCATGTACACTACGGATAATCACACGATGCATATGCCATGTTAGTCTTACATGATTTTTGACAATTTGATGTTCCATCAATTTGTTGATGCAATATTGAAGATAGTTTTTCTCTTGTCTTGTTTCCCAGGTATTTTCGTTTAGAGCCTCTGCCAGGATACAAGTATGGTTTTGTTTCTGCTTCTTTGTGGGACATTGCCTCTTAAAGTTGGAAACGTTTTGCATTTAGATTTCATCACCTTGACTTGGGTACATGTGTATTACAATTTTAGTACTCTGGTGCCAGTCCAACCTGGAGAGAAGGTCATTAATTATCCAACTCGCCCCGTGGACACAACAACGGACTTTGAGGGAACAACTAACCTTCAACCCTCACAAACGGTAAGCTGGATTCTATAAATTTCTCCTTCTCTTCTTCTTTTTCCTTCTCTCTCTCTCTAAAGCTACAAAATTTAAGTAAACATATATGAATAAGGTGCCATGTGTAGCTTTTTGTTAAATATAATCATGGAGGCTCCAGGCTGCAATTATTATATTTGTTTACCTATGCATTAACTATTTTTTCAGTTCCCATGSCATCCAATAGGTCAAGGGCAGTCTATTTTGAAAGATTCATTTCCATTTTCACATCATGAAATTTTCCTATATTTAGATAGCTGTAAGTTAGTTATTAAGCACTACTATGTTTCTTGTGTTGATTATGATTTCAGATAGGAGTCCTTTGCTTGCTGGACTTCCTTATTCATGAGTTTTGTGTGTGTACAAGTACATAGGTATATTGTGAGGTATCTTCCTCACTATCCTTGATATTCCAAAAGCAAAACGCCCTAAGGCTTACAAAACCAGCTAATTCGAGAGGGCTGGGTTCTCTCCTAATAGCCTAGCTCTATTCCTTACACACAAAGCAAAAAACTGCCCTTACTCATCCCGAGGGTCTCTTACATACCTTCCACCACTCCCCCCATCCGTACTACCCTATTCTAACTAACTTTAGAGTCAACTTCCCAAAATACCCTTCCTCCTACAGCCTCCCCCTAAATTTCCTTTTCTACCCCTCCTAGCATAAGTATATACAATTGGTGGTCTAACATCACTCCCCTCTTCGAAATCCACCTTGTCCCCAAGGTGGGTGTCAAAATTCTGTTCAAAGAACTAGGAAATTGCCGTTCAATCGTATCCAACTCTTCCCATGTAGACTCTTCCTCCAGCAAATGTTTCCAAGCTACCAGGGCTTCGTCCTTGCCAGTTGATTAATTTGTGCGCGTTGCATACACCTCTTCCAGTTTCGTTATCCACTCCATATCCTCAGACACCCATGGAGTCACTTGCTGGGCGACAGTAGAATTGCCCACAACCTTCTTGAGTTGTGAGATATGGAAGACAGGGTGGATGCTTGATTCAGCTGGCAATCTTAGCTTGTAGGCAACCTTCCCTATCCTTTGTATTATTTCAAAGAAGTACTTCGGAGCTAGCTTCTYATTTAGACGCTTGGCCACTGACTTCTGATGGTAGGWTCTCAGCTTCAAGTACACCCACTCCCCTTCATCGAATTCTAGGTCCCTCCTCTTCTTGTCTCCATACAGCTTCATATGCTCTTGGGCCTTCCTCAGGTGTTCTTTAATTCTATCCAATGCCATGTCCATATCTGCCAACTGCTGATCAAGAGTGCCATTGCTCGTTTTAACACTGTTGTACCTTATCACTGTTGAGGGTTGTCGTCCATACACTAAGTGAAAGGGTGTTGCCCCGAGTGCTATATGATACGTGGTGTTATACCAGTACTCCGCTTATGGTAGCCAGTGTCCCGACTACTTAGGTGAGTTGTTGCAATAGCAACAGAGGTAGGTCTCAAGACAACGATTAACAATTTCGGATTGATCGTCCGTTTGTGGGTGGTATGCGGTGCTTCTCCGTAGTTGGGTTCCCTGTACTCTAAATAGGTCGGTCCAGAAGTGACTGACGAACACCTTGTCTCAATCCGATACAATGGATCTCGRAAACCCATGCAAGTGCACGATTCCTTTAATGAAAGTATTAGCCACAGTCTTTGCGATGAAAGGGGTGACAGAGAGCCACAAAGTGAGCGTATTTGCTCAACCTATCAACCACCACCAGAATGGTGTCGCATCCTTCGGATTTCGGCAGCCCTTCGATAAAATACATGGCCACATCCTCCCAGATACGATTCGGAATGGGGAGAGGTTGGAGTAATCCTGCGGGAAAGGCAGCCACGGTTTTGTTCTTTTGACACACATGGCAACTGTCCACATAGGCCTTCACATTTGTTTTCATTCCTTGCCAGTAGAGCTCGCCAGTCAACCTTTTGTAGGTCTGGAGGAATCCGGAATGACCACCCATGACGRAATCATGATACATATGGAGTATTGTGGGGATCAACGAGGATTTTTTAGATAGCATCATTCTATGCTTATATGTGAGCATCCCTTGCTGCATTCGAAACTTAGGACTGCCCTCGGGGTCATTCTCTAGGACCTTTTTGATCAATGATAGATACAGGTCTTCGCTCACCTCCTTCCTTATCACCTCTATGTCCAGTAGCTTAGGTACATATAACATGGCTAGATGTCCAGTGGTCGGCATTCTCGATAAACTATCAGCGGCTTTGTTCTCTTGGCCAGGACGATACTGTATCTCAAAATCGTACCCAAGAGCTTGGCGATCCACCTCTGGTACTCARGTTGAATTTGTCGCTGGTCCAATAGGTGCTTCAGGGCTTGTTGATCTGTTTGGACTATAAAGCAATGTCCTAGCAAGTAGGGCCTCCACCGTTGAACTGCCAAGACCGCAGCCATCAATTCCCTCTCATATATTTCATTTGGGCRTGGGCGACAATGTATGGCTGAAATATGCTATGGGTTTTTTATTCTGAGATAAAATTGCTCCAAGACCAAAATCAGAGGCATCTGTTTCTATCACAAACGGGATTGCAAAATCCGGCAAGGCTAACACATGCAAGGTGACCATGGCCTTTTTTAACTCCTCAAAAGCTCGAGTGGCTACCCCGTTCCAGACGAATGCATCTTTCTTCAATAGTTGGGTTACGGGGCCGGCGATGGTTCCGTAATTCGCCACGAATCGACGATAATATCCCGTTAACCCTASGAAGCCTCTCAACTCTTTTATGTTTGTGGGTTTCGGCCATTGTACCATAACTCGCACTTTCTCCGGATCTGCTTCAACTCCATGAGCTGRTACCCAATGCCCCAAATATTCAATCCTTCCCTGAGCAAACATGCACTTCTTTTGATTCGCATGCAATTCGTTTTTCTCGCAACACATCGAAMACAATGGCCAAATGTTTGATTTGAGTATCCATATTGGGGCTATATACTAGTATATCATAAAAAAAGACTAACACGAATTTTCTCAAGAAGTAGCGGAATACCTGGTTCATGAGGGCCTAGAATGTTGAGGGTGCATTGGTAAGGCCGAATGGCATTACAAGAAACTCATAGTGGCCTTTGTGTGTTCGAAAAGCGGTTTTGGCGACGCCCCCCTTGGCTACCCGGATTTGATGGTATCCCGATCGAAGGTCGATCTTTGAGTGTACCGTGGAACCGTGCAGCTCATCCAGAAATTCTTCAATCACGGGGATGGGGAACTTGTCAGGCACCGTTGCTTTGTTCAAAGCTCTGTAATCGACGCAAAACCTCCAGCTTCCATCCTTCTTCTTCACCAAAATGACTGGGCTAGAGTAGGGACTAACATTGGACTAAATGATTCCGGCTTCCAACGGGCTGGTGGGAGACCAGTTGGTTTCTGAAAAATCGAAGCATAATCAAATAGCAAGGATGTGATTCCCTAAGGTAATGGGGGGGAGGGGGTTGTACCTGTAGTGGCATCGATTGTTCTTCTTCCATCGTCAAAAAGGCCCGCAACTCAATCAAGAACCCTTGGTCGTTCTTGTCCCATGCTCGTGCCAGCTTCTTAAAAGACACCTCCATACACGTCAACGCTGGATCTCCTTGTATCTTCACCTTTTGTATGTCCTTTTCGAAAGTCATGGTCAAGGCGGGCCAATCCACCTGCAGTTTTCCCACCCTTCTCAACCATTGCATTCCCAAAACARCGTCTATGTTTCCCAACTCCAGTGGCTGGAAATCCTCCATTATGGTCATCTTGATCACCCCTTTGCAGATGTCCCCGCCCCTGATGGTTGTGCCTGATCCCATGATCACCCCATAGCTGGGTTCTGTCSTCACTAGTTTGGGATCACCCATATCTGGGTGTGTCTGTCCTCACTAGTTGTAGTACATCAGCCAACTTTTGAGAGATGAAGATGTGTGTAGCCCCGCAGTCGATGAGCACCACGACTTCCTTTTCTTGGATCTTACCTTTTAGTTTCATCGTTCTTGGAGTTGTGAGACTGACAATGGAGTTGAAGGCGACGTACTCCACTGCCTTTCCTTTTTCTTCTTCCTTCGGTTCCTCATCGAACTCCATTTCCATCTCCGTGTCGTCCTTCGTCTGTTCATCGTTATGCACAACAAACACGCGTAACTCCTTACACTTACGCCCCACCGAATATTTTTTTCGTCACAATTGAAACACATACCTTTTTCCTTCCTTTTCTGGTATTCAGCCTCTGTGAGGGATGCTTCTGTTGCTGTTCGGGTTTTGTTGCACTGCATTCCCTTGACCTTTAGTAGACAGAGTGACTACCCTGGTAGGTGTTAGGTCGGCTCCCTTAATGGAGGTCTTACTGTTTACTGGAGGAATTATTACTAGCCCCCTCCCCAACGAGTGTCTCCTCACCTTCTTGGGCTGCTAGGTCTATATCTTACACCAATTGGGCTTTCCTCATAATTTCGTCCAGCTCATCAGGTTCCATGGCCCGTACTTCGGCCCGTATCGTCGGTCTGAGCCCATTGAGGAAGGCTCCTTCCAAGACCTCATCGGAGAGCTACGTTAATGGYGCTGCCATGGCTTCAAATCGCTGGATATACTCTTCTATCGTCGTCTCCTGCTTGATTGCTAACAGTCTCGCACATTGTTTCCCTTTTYTTGACTGCTGGAAACGTTGAAACATCCGTTTTTTAAGGTCATCCCAATCAGTGAACCGTTGTCGATTATCATTCCACTGGTACCAAGCTAAAGCTATCCCCTCAAAACTAATAACAGCAACAATCAATTTCTCAGAATCACTTAGTTTATGAATCCTCTCTGCACAAAACAGCCATGAATCTGGGTTTGGTCCTGTGAAGATCGGCATCTCCAATTTCTTGAACTTATTTCGGTCGTTTCCACGGTTGCCGGTTTCTAGGACTCRTATCTTTGTCGGTGGCTTTCCTCTTCAGCGTCGAGCCTTCTCCCGTTGTTACCTCCGTCATCGACGTTTGGTGCCGGTGACTTCAGCCATAAAACGCTCCATCTTCTGTTGATGAGCTTCCATCCGAGCCGTAAACTTCTCCAAGATGTTCTGGTTAGCCTGAACCTGTCCTCGCACTCCTTTGATCGTTTCTTTTAGGCCGACCACTTCTTGCTCCGTCGCATAACATCGTTCCTCCAGTCGTGTCTGCACCATTCTTTTCTTCTTTACCAGGATGAACTTGCTCTGATACCAAGTTGTGAGGTATCTTCCTCACTATCCTTGATATTCCAAAAGCAAAACGCCCCA